GCCAAGATTGTGCCACTGCACTCCAGCCTGGGCGACAGAGTGAGACTCCGTCTCAAAAAAAAAAAAAAAAGAGAAAAGAAAAAAATATCAAGATGCTTGTAGCAAATGATTGTGAGGAGAATGGTGTTAGCCACAGGCAAACCTCACATCTGCTGATGACCACATACCTATCCATGGGTGCTCCTGGAGAATAATTTCTACTTTTTTCACCTTCAAATAAAACCTTTTTTCGCTTTTAGGATCAGGGTCTTTGTCATCCAGATTGATCATAGGTCACTGCAGTCTTAAACTCCTGGACTCAAATTATCCTCCTACCTCAGCCTTCTGAGTAACTAGGGCTACAGATACACACAACCACACCAGGCTAATTTTTTTAAGTATTTTTTTGTAGAGGTGAAGATCTCATGTTGCCTAGGCTAGTTTCGAACTCTTGGTCTCAAGCAATCCTCTTCCTTCTGTCTCCCAGAGTGCTGGGTTTGCAGAGTAAACCTGGCCAAAATTTCGTGTAAATGTCATCTTGTTGGTAGATTCTCAAGATGGAATTCTGTTGGCAGAGGAGTATATAGAATATGCTTCTATTCCCTGCTATACATACAGGGGAATAATTAAAAGATGGGATGGCATGGACTATCAGCAGGCAATATCCAGCACAGACTCTCAATTCCTAATCAGAACAGATATAAATTCTTTAGTTCAGATCATATGGCTTTGCATATTTGACACTTTACCTGACCAGCCATATCTTTTACTGTACATCAATACAAGTCGCAGAGACACACACACACATATTGTTAACATTTTTGCCCCGTGATTTGTGCTCTGCCTTACATTTGAATTGTCCTTTCTCTTTTTTTTAAAACACACACACCCTCGGCTCATGGTTTGTGCCTTAATTTTGCCATTAATTCTACCTCCCTGATTTTTCTTCCATCAGAACTACTACCGTGTTTAAAAGTTAATACCATAAAAATTAATATAGTGTCTGTCTCCCACTAGAAAGCTTCTTGAAAGCAAGGACCTTATCTTATTTATCAATCTATTTTGACCATATAGAAAAGAATCTGACACATAGTACTTAATATTTACTGGATGAATGAATATCAGTTTTTTTTGTTTTCTTTTTTTTTGATACGGAGTCTTGCTCTGTCGCCCAGGCTGGAGTGCAGTGGCACAATCTCGGCTCACTGCAAGCTCCGCCCCCCCCCCGGTTCACGCCATTCTCCTGCCTCAGCCTCCCGAGTAGCTGGGACTACAGGCGCCCGCCACCGCACCTGGCTAATTTTTTGTATTTTTTAGTAGAGACGGGGTTTCATGTTGTTAGCCAGGATGGTCTCTATCTCCTGACCTCGTGATCCGCCTGCCTTGGCCTCCCAAAGTGCTGGGATTACAGGCTTGAGCCACCGCGCCCGGCCGAGTATCAGTTATTAGTAAGGAATTGATCATATGGTGTATCTATAAAATGTAATCCATTCAGCCCACCTAAAGTATTGAAATAAAGCTATATATGCTCTGATACAGAAAGATGTCTCTGATTTTTTTTTTTTTTTTTTTTTTTTGGGATAGAGTCTCACTCTTGTCCAGGCTGAAGTGCAGTGGTGCAATCTCAGCTCACCGCAACCTCCGCCTCCTGGGTTCAAGAGATTCTCCAGCCTTAGCCTCCCGAGTAGCTGAGATTACAGGCATGCACCACCACACCTGGCTAATTTTTGTATTTTTAGTAGTGATGGGGTTTCACCATGTTGGCCAGGCTGGTCTTGAACTCCCAGCCTCAGGTGATACACCCGCCTCTGCCTCCCAAAGTGCTGGGATTACAGGTATGAGCCACCACTCCCAGCCAATAATTTTAAGTGATTATATATCTGTGTATGTTTCTGTATACTTAGATGACAGTAGGGAAAATACGTACTAATAACGTTAAGTACCTAGAATGTTGTATGGAAGGTGAATATGTTCTGTATTTTTGTGTTTGAATGTTTTAAACAAGTGTAGTAGTCCTCCCTAGCCACAGTTTTGCTTCCCATGGTTTTGCATGCTGTTTTTAGTTATCCATGGTACAGTATAATAAGATTTTGAGAGAAAGGGACCACATTTACATAAATCTTATTACAGTAATTGTTATAATTGTCCAGTTTTATTACTAGTTACTATTTCTTACTGTGCCTAATTTATAAATTAAACTTTATCACAGGTATGTGTGTATAGGAAAAAGCACAGTATATATAGTTCTCAGTTTAGGCTTTCCACAGTTCCAAGCATCCATTGAGGGTCTTGAAACGTTCCCCACAGACAATGTGGGATTACTCTGTGTGTGTGTGTGTGTGTGTGTGTGTGTGTGTGTGTATGCATATATATACACATAAAATTTATATATACACTATATGTATTTTATATATATATGTACTATATATTTTTTTAATGAAAATAGAGTTTAAGAAGCCGGGGCAGGCGTGGTGATATGCCTGTAAGCATTTTGGGAAGCCAAGGCAGGTGGATCATTAGGTCAGGAGTTTGAGACCATCCTGGCCAATGTGGTGAAACTCCGTCTCTACTAAAAATACAAAAAAGCCAGGCGTAGTGGCAGACGCCTGTAGTCCTAGCCACTTGGGAGGCTGGGGTAGAAGAATTGCTTGAACCCAGGAAGCGGAGGTTGCAGTAAGCTGAGACCAGCCACTGCACTCCAGCCTAGGTGACAGTGAGACTTTGTCTCAAAAAGAAGCAACTCATATAAATACCTTGTTTGTGTATTATTTGGGGTCTCCCTAAGTAGAATGGTATTGGGTAAATATTCAAGAAACTTTTCTCTTAAAAAATTGTTTTCTTTTTTCATTATAGAGACATATGTTCTCTTTTAAAAAGCATACAAAACATAATATAGAGAATTACATGGAGCACAATATTAAAATTTTCTCTTCAACCTTCCTCTTCCTGCCTTGCCACCCAGTCACATTCATAGGAAGCCAGTTAAATTGTTAAACCACTTAGATTTATTTATTTATTTATTTATTTATTTATTTATTTATTTTGAGTCTGTGTCACCAGTCTGGAGTGAGGTGGTGCGATCTCGGGTCACTGCAACCCCCATCTCCCTGGTTCAAGTGATTCTCCTGCCTCAGCCTCCCAAGTAGCTGAGATTAGAGGCGCCTGCCACCACACCCAGTTAGTTTTTGTATTTTTAGTAGAGTTGGGGTTTCACCACGTTGGCCAGGATGGCCTCGATCTCTTAACCTCGTGATCTGTCCGCCTTGGCATCCCAAAGTGTTGGGATTATAGGTGTGAGCCACTGCACCTGGCCCATATAGGTATTTTTTATGTGTATGCACAAATAAAACCTTTTCTCAGATTTGCCCTTTAAAATAAAAACTCAACATTATGTATCTGGGCATTTGTTCATCTCTGAACATACATGTTTATGACATTCTTTTTAATGGCTATGTGGTAATTCATTGTAGTGGTGTGTACTATAATTTCTTTAACCAGAGATTTTTCTAATTAAATTTTCTTTTTTCTTACAGAGGAATATCTCCATCCCAATTTAATATTAACAAAATAGTACATTTCATTTTATGATCCAAACTTTGCCATGTTACTGTTCCTCTATGGCATATTACTATTTCTCTATTTTATTGTGTATTTCCCTCTAATGGTTTTGGCCTTGTTTTTATGTATTTCAGGTCTGCGGATCAATGGAGAGCTAATCACTGCCTACCCACAAGTGGTGGTAGTCAGAGTACCAACCCCTTGGGTGCAGAGTGATAATGACATCACTGTTTTGTGCCATCTAGAGAAGATGGGATGCCGGTTAATGAACCGACCTCAAGCCATCCTGAACTGCGTTAATAAGTTCTGGACATTTCAAGAGTTAGCTGGCCATGGTGTTCCTCTGCCAGATACTTTCTCTTATGGTGAGCCTACTAAAGAGCATGCATAGCCTAAATATTAACCACTGATAGTTTAATAGGATAAATTTACAGACATGAAAGAACATCTTACAGAAGTGACTTTCAGTTTTAACACACTGGACAGGCTAATTACAAATCATATCTTAAGATTTGTTTCATATTATGGGGGAAAATAGGGTTAACAAACTTTCAAGATTAAAAGTATTTTAGGTTTTACAAGCCATGAGTTCTCTGGTAACCCTCAGTAATGCTGTTGTAACATGAAAGCTGCTATAGACAATGCTTAAACAAATGAGTAGTTTTGTTCCAATGAAACTTTATTATAAAAACAGCCAATAGGTCAAATTTGACCCGTAGGCCTTAGTTTGCCAACCTCTGTGGTAAAAGATAATAGAATTTTATGACATTAATTTTTCGTTTTCTTCATTACCATTTTGATAACTCAAATATTTTAATGTTTTTAAAGAAAGTAACACTTTAGTAGGTATGCTTTAAAACAGTGCTTTCAAACTTCTGGTAAAAGAGTTTTTTTTTTTTTTTTTTTTTAAAAGATCAATCTGTGGTAGATTAATACTCGTGTAAAATACAATAAAACGATCACAGCAGTGCCAGATTGCTATAAAAGCTTCTGCTGCCTACCCTTTTGTATTTATCTGACTGCATAACAGTAGTGAACAAGTCCTATACAGGCACAGGTTGCAGGACCACATTCTGAGTAACACTGCTTTAAACAACATTTTGCTAATGTATTTCCTGCCTTTAATTCTCTTGTTTGGAAAAGACCAAACTTAAATTAGTGCAGAGTTTTCCATAAAGGTGTTTCTTCAAATATCCAGAAGAATGCTTGGAGATTTAATGAGGCTTTACGAAGGAACCGTTGTCCTCTCCTTATTGTTAATATTTTAAAGAAAGGAACTCTTCCTCCCCAACCCTCACCAAGCCTGTATGGCATGCGTGGACACGGTTTCCGTTTTTAGCAATTGCATAGGAAGAGACAGAATTAATGTAAGTTGAGAATTCTGTTTTTTTTTTTTTTTTTTTTTTTTTTTGAGACGGAGTCTCGCTCTGTCGCCCAGGCTGGAGTGCAGTGGCCGGATCTCAGCTCACTGCAAGCTCCGCCTCCCAGGTTTATGCCATTCTCCTGCCTCAGTCTCCCGAGTAGCTGGGACTACAGGCGCCTGCCACCTCGCCCGGCTAGTTTTTTGTATTTTTTAGTAGAGACGGGGTTTCACCGTGCTAGCCAGGATGGTCTCGATCTCCTGACCTCGTGATCCGCCCGTCTCGGCCTCCCAAAGTGCTGGGATTACAGGCTTGAGCCACCGCGCCCGGCGAGAATTCTGTGTTTTTAATGCTTTGGGGATCTTAATAGTTTATAACATGATTGTACAATGTTGATTTTATGAGAATGGAAAGAAGGGAAAAAAGGCTAACCAAATTAACAAGTATTACCTTTGTTCTATTGATGAAGGATTAAAATTTGGTGACCAAGTCATCATAATTTTGCAAAGCTACAAATTTCTCATATTTCACTTGTTTAATGAACTTTATCCTGTCTCAACTTTTCTCTCTCATCGTGCTGATTTTTGTAGCTACAGTCTGTCTATTTTTGCTCTAATTTTGTTATTGTGTCATTTGTTTTTGGTCAATAAAAAGAGTGAGAAAGGAGACTTAACTCAGGATGCTGAGTTACCCCAGTGTAGAAAGAACTCTGATTAATAATGGAGACCAAAAAAATTGGGGTGTGTGTGTTTGTTGGTAATAAAGAGGAGTGTGTCAGTGTGTGCAGCATCTCTTCAACCTTGGATAGATCTTAACCAACTAATTCTTCAGTTTCTTAATCGAAGCAGGGAATTGAATATATTAAAGTAAATCTTGGGGCTTCTATTATTTGTGTGGGAGAATAATAAGGATAAAAACATGAGAAATGGCGTAGAATTAGGAAACTCTGTTTAGCTGAAAGATACTTAAGTTAGACATCAGAATATGTATAGGTTAAGGGAGCTATTATTTGTTTTACAAGGTATTGTTTTAAACTGATATTCAGTTATATTTTCAACTTATACATACTTTCTCCAAGAAAAAAAAGATAGCCGTCAGGCTCTTACCTTCAACTTCCTTGTGCTGTTGTCTTTAGTGTAGATAAAATTGATCACAAAACACTTCTGCTGCTGTTTGTCTTAAATTTTTTTATTGCTCAAACCAGGTGGCCATGAAAATTTTGCTAAAATGATTGATGAAGCAGAAGTACTGGAGTTCCCAATGGTAGTAAAGAATACGCGGGGTCATAGAGGTGTGTATGAGTTGTTGGTAAGGTATATAGTTTTGAAACTATTCTTGCTTATTAATATGAGTGACTTTGAAGAATAATTAGAGGGAAATTGTTAGGTGCATGATACCTCAGACTTACAGAAGGCTACTGTGAGTTCAGTTTGGCTAAAAGCTATTTCTGTTTAGTGGTTACCTAGAGATTTTAACATACATACTTAGACTGAGTCTCAAGTTAGACCTGTCTGTATCTTCCTCAATAATATAAGGACCACCCGTAATCCCAGCACTTTGGGAGGCTAAGGCAGATGGATCACCTGAGGTCAGGAGTTCAAGACCAGCTGTCCAATGTGATGAAACCTCGCCTCTACTAAAAATATAAAAATTAGCCAGATGTGGTGGCATATGCCTGTAATCCCAGCTACTCGTGAGGTTGAGGCAGGAAAGTGGCTTGAACCCGGGAGGCAGAGGTTGCAGTGAGCCGAGATCATGCCACTGAACTCCAACCTGGGCAGTAGAGCCAGACTCTGTCTAAAAAAAAATGCAAAGAAACAATATAAGACCTTAGATCACTAACTCCAGTCATCCCCCTCTAAAGATATATAGTTTGAAGACTTAAACGAATAAGGTAAAACTATTAACACTTTATAAGATGTCATATGAAAATATCTTAATGATTTTGGATTAAGGTAGCCTTTTTTTTTTTTTTTTTTTTTTTTTTAAAAAAATGAGATGGAGTTTTGCTCTTGTTGCCCAGTCTGGAGTGCAGTGGTGTGATCTCAGCTCACTGCAACCTCTGTCTCCCAGGTTCAAGCAATTCTCCTGCCTCAGCCTCCCAAGTAGCTGGCATTACAGGCATCTCCACCACGCCCAGCTACTTTGTTTTTTGTATTTTTAGTAGAGACAGGGTTTCATCATGTTGGCCAGACTGGTCTTGAACTCCTGACCTCTGGTGATCCACCTGCCTCGGCCTCCCCAAGTGTTGGTATTACAGGCGTGAGCCGCTGCGCCCAGCCTAAGATAGAATTTTAAGGCATAAAATGATACATCAGTCTGAGTACAGTGACATATTTTGTGTTTTGGCAGGGATGGCTGGATCAGAGTTCAGCTGGAACTGTTGACTGGGTTCTTTATATTTGGCTTCTCCAGTAGGGCAGCCAAGAGTCTCAGGCCTCCTACGGTGAATGCTAAAGTGAACAAAGAAGCTGTATGACCGTTTATGGTCTACCTTCATAAGTCATAATAGAATTAATTCTGCTATATTCTCTTGTTTGGAGCAATCACAAGCCCCTCCTAGATTCAGCCAGAAGTGACGTAGATTCAGTATCCCTTCTTTCCCTTCCCCACCATGGGAGGAATTTAGAACCATATATCTAAAACAGCCACTTCCATTGGCACAAAAGTAGACAAATAGAGCAGTGGAACAGGCTAGAGAATTCAGAAATAAATTGAGGTAACATACTGCTGTATTACTATATCCTAATATAGTATATTAGTATATTGTATAATAATATATCACACATATGTTTTAATTCAGAGATAAAAAGTTTTGCTAGTGAATGAGGTTGACATTATTGGCTAACCTGGAGAAGTACAAATCTAGACCGCTGCCTCACAACATATATCAAAATAAATTTTAGTTTGTCATGAAACATGAGTTTGGGGAGTGGTAAAAGGAGATTGTTTACCTTGTCTTTATATATTTTTGTATTATTTCACTGTTAAAACAGTTCTAACAAGGAAAACTTAAGAAAAAAAAGTGTAATTGATTCTGAAACAGCAGATTGTGATACAAGAAGATTCAGATAATAGGTATCATCTGCCCACAATTGATGACTTAACATGTATTTTTATTCTTTTCAATCGTAGGTAAAGCTGTTTTCTTGGCTCGAGATAAGCACCATTTGGCTGATCTAAGCCATCTTATTCGCCATGAAGCACCATACCTGTTCCAGAAGTATGTTAAAGAGTCCCATGGACGGGATGTACGTGTCATTGTCGTGGGAGGCCGTGTGGTTGGCACCATGTTACGTTGTTCAACAGATGGGAGAATGCAAAGCAACTGCTCATTAGGTAAAAATAATACAAATATCTTTCTAGTATATAGAGTGACATTATAACTTGTCCAGTGAGTATTCATTTGTGTGTAACTGTAGACTTTCTTAATAAGTTGAAAAACGTGTTTCCTTTTACATGTAAATACGATTTTTACACATGCCATCAATGTAATTAAACTCAAGTTATTTTTCTAGTAATATAATTCTGTTTCACTGAGTCATATTAAATCTGCCTTCACCCATTCTCAATTCGTAACCCAGTTTACACATGTATTGGATGTCTGACAGGAGTTAGAGATTCCCTCTTTGGTGATATACTTATTTTGTATATAATCGGAGTTCCTATAAGATGTCTTCACCCATTTTACCCATTGGTCCAAACAAGATTGCTGATTTTGATTTTCTTAAACATGTATTTTCTCAGATCTCTTATTGTTCAGGTACATCAGAGCTTAGGCTTTGGGTTTTTATCCTCCTCTTCTCTGTTTATATCACTTTCTTAGTAATCTTGTACAGCTCATGACTTTAAATACCGTTTGTATGTTAATTATTTCCAAATTTCTATCTCCAATTTAGACTTTTTTCCCTGCTCCAACTCCAGGTTTATATAAGGAATTGCTTACTCAGTATCTCCAAAACTGAAATCCTTACAATGGGTTCTACCCGTAGTTATCTCCTTATCATTTTAGTCTTATGTATGTATGAGTGAGTGAATGATGGGGTCTTGCCTGTCACCCAAGCTGGAGTACAGTGGCAGGATCACAGCTCACTACAGCTTCAACCTCCCGGGCTGAAGCAGTCCTCCTGCCTCAGCCTCTCAAGTAGCCGAGACCACAGGCACATGCCACCATGCCTGGCTAATTATTTTATTTTTTATTTTTTGAAACAAGAGCCTCACTCTGTCACCCAGGCTGGAGTGCAGTGGTACAATCTCAGCTCCCTCACTGCAACCTCCACCTCACGAGTTCAAGCGATTCTCCTGCCTCAGCCTCCTGAGTAGCTGGGACTACAGGCACCTGCCACCATGCCCAGCTAATTTTTTTATTTTTAGTAGAGACGGAGTTTCACCATGTTGGCCAGGCTGGTCTCAAACTTCTGACCTCAGGTGATCTGCCTGCCTCGGCCTCCCAGAGTGCTGGAATTACAGGCATGAGCCACCACACCCCACACCGGGCTAATTTTTTACATTTTTTTGGTAGAGATATGGTCTCCCTATGTTGCTCAGGCTGTTTTCAAACTCCTGGGCTCAAGCAATCCTCATGCATTGGCCTTCTAAACTTGTGGGATGATAGATGAGAGCCACCACTTCCAGCCTGTCTGTCTTGCTTAATGACAGCTCTGTTTTTCTGATTTAGACCCAAATCCTTAGAGACATCCTGGTCCCTCTCTTCTCTTATACCTCATATTCAAATTGTCAGGAACCCTTTGAAATCTCTACTCTCAGAATGTTTCCAAATCTTACCAATTTTTACCATCTCTACTCCTAATACCATCTTCTCTTATTTGGATTACCTATAGTAGCCCCTTAAGGGGTCTTCTTGCTTCTACTCTTCCCTCCTAATCTCTTCCTAACACCACAGTGGTATGATGGATGCTTTTACATTGCAAGTCAAATCAACTTTCGCTCAAAATCCTCTAATAGGGCCAGGAACCATGGCTCACACTGGTAATCCCAACACTTTGGGAAGCTGAGGCAGGAAGATCATCCTGAGCTCAAGGTTCAAAGCCAGCCTGGGTAATAGAGGGGAAGACCCTGTCTCTACAAAATATAAAAATAAATTATCTGGGGCCAGGCTTGGTGGCCCAAACCTGTAATTCCAGCACTTTCATAGGCCAAGGTGGATGGATCACTTGAGGCCAGGAGTTCAAGACTAGCCTGGCTAATATGGTGAAACCCCATCTCTACTAAAAATATAAAGTTAACCAGGTACAGTGGCACATGCCTGTTTAGTCCCAGCTACTCGGGAGGCAGAGGCATGAGAATCTCTTGAACCAGGAGGCAGAGGTTGCAGTGAGTCAAGATTGCCCTACTGTACTCCAGCCTGGGCGACAGAGTGAGACTGTCTCAAAAAGAAAAAAAAAAAAAAAAATTAGCTGGTCATGGTGGCATGCACCTGTGGTCCCAGCTACTCAGGAAGCTAAGGCAGAAAGATTGCTTGAGTCTGGGAGGTCGAGGCTGCAGTGAGCCATGATCATACGATCATACCACTACACTCCAGTCTGTCTCAAAAACAAAAACAAACAAAATTCCTCCAATAGCTCCCCAGTTGCATTCCCAGAAAAATCTTAAGTTCTTGCCCTAGCTACCAGGCCCTAGGTGATGTCATCCCTACTTATCTCTCTGAGATCTATAACCACATGGATGAATCTCAGAAACATAATGTTCATCTAAAAAGGCAAGTCAAAGAAGAGAATACATGTATTTCATTTATATAAAATTTAAATATATGCAAAACTAAACAATGCAGTGTTGGAAATACATTTAGTAAAACTAAAGGTGGAATATTGATAAGCATGAAATTCAGTATGGTGGCTTATTCAGAGTACATGATAGAGTAAGAACACTGAAGATTTGAAAGATATTGGTTATATTAATTTTACTTTCTACTTTTTTTTTTCTGATGGAATCTTGCTCTGCCACCCAGGCTGGAGTATAGTGGTGTGATCTCAGCTCACTGCAACCTCTGCCTCCCAGGTTCAAGTAATTCTCGTACCTCAGCCTCCTGAGTAGCTGGGACTACAGGTGTGCACCCCCATGCTGGGCTAATTTTTGTATTTTCAGTAGTGATGGGGTTTCGCCATGTTGGCCAGGCTGGTCTTAAACTCCTGGCCTCAAGTGATCCACTCACCTCAGCCTCCCAAATTGCTGGGCGCCACCAGGTGTGAGCCACCGTGCCCAGCCTACTTTCTATTCTTGAAAAATGACTTCTGCCTCCTTGAATTAGCTCTTCATGTCTCATTTTAATTTTTCATTATAACATGTCATGCTGACTAGCTAGAAGAGAGCTAAATGGCATCTTTTGTGGGTCACCTTTACCTTACTACGTTGAGATGTAATTAATAGTTACTCTTCATATTTTAAGCAAAAAGAACTTTAGAAAGTAACTTAGTTTTATATTAAGAAGTAAATTGTTTTTTTTAAGTTTGTTTTGAGGTCGGGTGCTGTGACTCAGTCCTGTAATCCCCGGCTCAACACGTTGGGATGCCAAGGCAAGAGAATGGCTTGAGCCCTGAGGTTTGAGACCAGTCTGAACAGTGTAGAGAGACCCCATATCTACAAAAAATAAATTAATTAAGCCAGACGTGATGATTCACACCTCTGGTCCCAGCCACTTGGGAGGCTGCATTCTGGCCTGGGCAACACAGCAAGACCCTGACTAAAAAAAATAAATAAAAATAAAAAAAGGTTGTTTTGAGATCAGTGAGGCTTACAAAAAGATATAAAGGATTCCTTTGCACCCATTAACCAGCTTTAGAAATAAGCCGTCAATATAGTTATCTGTTTACTCTCTCTGATCATTTTCTTCTCTCTTCCCCACATCCTGAACTTGATATTTATCTTTCCTATAATGTGCTTTCAGTGCTTCTGTCTATATTCCTAAACTAGTTATTATTTTGTGTTATAAAACTTCATCCTTAGATATATCGTCAAGAGTGTTTCTGGGTTAGCCCATTTACCCAGGAGTGGGATTTCTGTGTTGTAGTGTATTACAGTAATTCAGCTCTACTAGATATTGCCAAATGATTCTCCAAAGTGAGTATGCTACCTTAGGATTTCTCCGCATCAAATACTGTTTCGTATAGTGCCACCTTCTTGCCAACCTGTAAGGTTGGTAGACATTAAGCCTTTTGCCGAAATAATGTGAATTATGTCATGTCATTATTGTAATTTATCTCTCACTGTTGAGGTTATGCATCTGTTCACTTTTTTAAGTGCATATTCCAGTATGTCATCTATAAATTGCCTGTGCAGGTCCTTTGTGTCTTTTTTTAATCGAGATTTTTTTTTCCTTTTTTGTATTGATCTACAGGCTCTTTTTCTTTTTTTGTTTATAAAAATATTTTATTTTTTATAGAGATGAGGTCTTGCTGTGTTGCCCAGGCTAGTCTTGAACTCTAGGCTTCAGGTGATTCTCCCATCTCAGCCTCCCAGAGTCCAGTGATTATAGGTGTGAGCCACTGCACCTGGCCAGATTTATCTAATCTGACTTCAAATTCTTTTGTCAGTTATATGAATTGTAAGTACAGTATTTTCATCCCAGTCTGTGATATTTCTTCTTTTTTTGATTACAGATTTTGATGGACAAAAATTGTCACTTTTAATGTCAAGCATGTTCATCTATTTCTTTACGTTCTCTACTATTTTTAAATTGAAGAAATTCTTCTCTACCCTTTGGTCATGTTCAGTTCTTGAATACGGTCTTCTAAAAGCTTTTCCATGTTTAGGACTTTAATCTACCTGAAATTGATTTTGCTGTTCAGCGTGATGAAAGAGATCCTGTTTTCTTTTTTCAAAATGAGTAACTGGTTGTCTGAATGCTACTTATTGAATAGTCTGTTTATTACTAATTTGTAATGTATTTAATTTCCACGTGTGCATGGGTCTATTGCAAGGTCCCTTAATCTATTGTATCATGCTTTTTCTCTATGAATACCAGTCTTTATTCTTTTGGTACTATGTGTAGATATCTGATAGAGCAAGAGCCTCTCTACCTTGTTTGTCAGAATTGAATTGCAGTTTGTGTTCAGTGTTTTACTATTGTGAGCAATAATACTATAAACATCCTTGTGAATATGCTTTGTTTTATATACTGGTGCTTTTGTCTTGATAAGTCTCATCAAAGTTGGAATTGCTGGAACAAAATACATATTTAAAAAAATTTATGGCCAGGCACAGTGACTCACGCCATAATCCCAGCACTTTGGGAGGCTGAGGTGGGAGGATCGCTTGAGGTCAGGAGTTTGAGACCAACGGGCAACATGGTGAAGCCCCATCTCTACTAAAAATACAAAAAT